GGGTGTTTTTTTTTTTTTTTAATAGTTTTAGTAGAAATAGATTTCGTGGGGCCCTTATGTTATTAAAATGATAACTAATTAGGATTAGTCAACTATTATTAATGTTTAGAAATAGACTCTAGTTTTAAGGCACTGTAACGGTCTTTTCGCATATCTCTAATTTTGTAGAAGTAACATAAAAACATGATAAGTGAACGTAAAACTACATAGTTGGTGTAAAAACTATTTATACAGTATTGGACATATGGTGTAAAAACATATGGTCTAAGTAACCTAATATGGAATGAAACATCTCCAATGTATAGGAAAACCAAAAAAAAAAGGTGAATAAGAAAAAGGTAAGGAAAATTGAAGGGTAATCAGCTGTTAAAAAAAGTGAATAAGAAAAAGGTAAGGAAAATTGAAATGAGGTAATCAGCTGTTAAAATAATAAATTACGAAGCCTCTTTTTTTTTGGGATTCGATAATAATAAATATTATCGTCGATACTGCTTTATTATTCTATTTCCTTTATGTGGTTTATTCATTATTGTATTTCTTTTCGTGACTTTGCGTTTCTTGAGCCGATGGTCTATTAGAAACAGTCTCTCCACCTTTACAAAGTAGGAGTAAGGTCAGTGGCGGATGTAGTATAGTATCACCGGATTCAACTGAACCCATAAATTTTTATGCGGAGTAAAAATTTCATGTGTAAAAATTTATTAAAATTATAAAATAGTAGATATGAACCCATAACTTTAAAATATAATGGGTTCAATGCTAAAAACTTTAAAAGTTAAACCTATAAGATATAAATCTTGGATCCGCATTTGAGTAAGATTGCGTATACACTACCCTCCGCAAATTATACTTGTTGAATTATACTGGATCTGTTGTCGGTGGATTCGATAATTATATTAGATGGTCTGTCGTTTTATGTCTAGTCAAATTGAGTAGCGTTAAATTAAAAATTTGTATTTTGACGTGGAGGTTCGCCATCAGGATTCAGATAGGAAGTTTATTATGTGGGCAGGAAGAATTTGATCAAAACTTCAATTCTCCGCCATGTGGACAGAGGGTGAATCTTTTGGTACATCATACTCCCTCCGTTTACTTTTTTATTTGGTACGTTTTGACTTTTTATGCCCCTTAAGAAATAATAAATGAAGTGCATAATTTACCATGATACTCATATTAATTGATGCATATTTTATTATATTTGAGAAAATGATTTGAAATGAGTAATAAATAATGTGGGTATAACAGTAAAAAAAATTGTCTTCTCTTGATATGCGTAAAGTGACAAATAAAAATAAAAATATTTTTTTAGTATATATGCCAAGTAAAAGTGAACGGAGTGTAATAGAGTTAGTTAAGCCAAAATTTGTCACCAATCAACATGTGGCTACCAAATAAAGTATTGACCATATTTAATTAGGTGCTTTTCCATTCATCGTTTAACGCATTTCCAGTCTTCTATTGGTTTATTTAGGAGTAGTTGCTACTATCAGGCTTTCAACATGGTAAGTGGTGGTCTGGTAGTGGCGTAGTGCCTAATAGGGATTGACAACCACTGTTATTTCACATAGGCAAATTCAAGGTCTAGAGTCCTTGAGCAGAATTAGTGCCCAATCTTATTCTATGTTGCTCCGACTCTCTGAAAATGTATGTGTGTCGGATCCTCCAAAAAGAGTACATGTTAGGTGGATCCGATACGGGTGCGAAAACATTTCGTTTACATAGATCTTATTATTATATTATAGCTATAAAAAAAAATTGGCATATGTACACAAAGTTCGAAGAAGATAAAATTTATCGTTGTGTGACCAGGAGGTCATAGGTTCAAGTCGTGAAAACAACCTCATGTAAAAATTCAAGGTAAGGCTGCCTACGTAGAACCTAATGTGGTCTGCCTCTTTGCTTTGCATAACCGGAGCTTAATGCATAAGGCTACCCTTTTATATCGTATACAAAGTTCAAGGTGAAAGCAATGTGTTTAGCTGAACACACAGAACCCCTCTAAATCTGCCTGTTATTTATTCTTTCCAGGAGATCATTCCTGGTGACAGACTTATTCTACAAAAAATAGATGATTTTTTTGGTAACTAATGAATACATATGCTAAACTGTATAAGGAAACTAATAAAAATAATAATTTCTTGAACAAAACTTACACTGAATTAACCGGATAAGGAGACTAACTAGCTTTACAAATTTAGCTTTATGCAGATCAACTATATAGCTAGCCAATGAGGTTGCAAGTAATCTACTTCACTGCCTCGTTGACGCTCTTGACCCCTTGTCGTCACCATCCATATCTTTAAGCAACTATAACCTCTATATGAAATGCTGATTTTTAAAAAAAATACCAGGCCTGCAAAGTCAAGTATGAAGATTTGCAAAAGCGCTACTCTGGCTGCAAGTGAGTCAAAGTTCTTTAAACTTATGAGCTAATCTAGTTTTTCTTTTGATATGTATTCATGAGCTAATTTAGTTTTGTGCATTAGTCACTAACCTGAAGGGGAGCCTTGGAGCAACGGTAACGTTGTGTTCGTATGACCTATCGGTTCGAGCCGTGGAATCAACTACCGATGCTTGCATCAGGGTAGGCTGTCTACATCACACCCCTTGGGGTGCGACCCTTCCCTGAATCCTACGTAAACACGGGATGCTTCGTGCACCGAGCTGCCCTTTTTTTTTAATCACTAACCATATCAGCTGTGGCCTTCTGAAATGCTTATGAATGTTTTATGATCACTTTTATGGAGTCAAGATAATTCCTATGTTATCTCAGCTTATGACTGCACTAATAACCTAGTGCTGTCACGTGACAAAAGAATAGCCTTTTGAATTTATGCCTAGGGTACTAAGCTTTGACTTGAATTCATGTTTTCCATTCACTTAATACATGTTGGGAGAAAACTGATTCATTAAGATCTTATCCTTGCACTAATCAATGCCCCGCTACTTTACCTTTCTTTGGCCTAGTGCTTGGTTTGAAGAGCTACGAAAACGACGAGTTGAAGAACTGAAGCGAGAATTGCAGAAATCTGAATGCTCAATTGGGTTAGTAAATATATATTGCTTCTCTATCTTAAGTTGGTGCCACTCAAATACTTTGCACACGAGGTTTCTTGACTACACTAAGTCTGTAGCTTTCATTTCTGCAGCTTTATAGGTAATCTCTGATCCAAACTCTTATCTCCTTTCACACTTAAGTTTTCTAACTCCATTTTATATTTGTAATCTCAGGTCTCTCCTCACAAAGATTGAAAGCCTTAAGGCAGAGAGAGAACGGTCTGCTCAGATAGATTATGGTTCTTGTCACACTGAATCGCCCGCTGCTGTTGTAAAGTCAGAATACATGGAATCTTTTGGCAACGACGGTGTATCTGCTGGCAGCTTCACACTAGATACCAGGACCAAGTTTTCACCCGAGTTTGAGAGTCCTGCTATAGCCTCGACTAAAGAGATAGATCGAAAGCTAGAATGGTCGGAGTCTTGTGAGCCAGCAGAGACTGCCAATGGAAATGGAGGAGTTTTGAGGAAGAGAAGAAGTAAGAGAAAAAGGAAAGATGCTGTTTTAGATAGCAAAGAAGTGAGCGTTGGTGAAAGTGACAATGTGTGTTCAATCAGTGACATCTCTACTTCCCACTGTAAAGAAACATCAACCAGTTGCGACCAAAGTATTAAGCCTACCACCACAGATGATAGTAAAGGAGGATTATCTAGATTGAGGGACGACGATGATTTGATGGCAATTTTCAATTCTATTACACAGACCGAAGTTGCTATGATCTTTAGGCATCGTCACGATAGTCAAAAGAGAGCTAGATACAAGAATATTATCAGGCAGCATGTGGATATTGAAACAGTAAGATTAAGAATAGCCAATGGTTCCATCAAATCAGCAGGTGAGCTTTTCAGAGATTTACTTTTGTTAACAACCAATGCCATTGTATATTATTCGAAAAGGACGAGAGAATACAAGTCAGCGATGACCCTCAGGGACATTGTCACTAAAGCATATAGAGACCATTATAAGTTCTCTTACCACAAAGCTACTTCTGCCCTGCTCACATTCTCGACGATAGGTAATCTGCCTGTGAAGCCAAGAAGTGCTCGTCCTCGCCCCTCCAAAGACAAACTTCAAGCCAAGTCTTGCGACAATGTAAATAGTATTGCAGGGACTGTAGGAAGAGATGATCATAAACCAAGTGATGCTGATTCTGAGGTTCCATTGCAGTCATTATTAGCTGCTACTAAAGGCTTCAAGCGACGTGGAAAGTTCAACTGTGGATCAGTTGATGGATCTGTTAATCGAATAACTAAAGTAGCAGAAAAGAAAGATACAGGAGCTAAAACTAAGATAGAGGACCATCATTCTGAGATGGTTACAAAGGAAAGAAAAAGAGCCTGTAAAGGTGATTTGCAGGTTGCATAGTCCTTTTTTTGTGTGCATGAACTCGTCTTTTTTAACCTTCTATTTTGCATGGCCATTTTGCAAATGGACTCCATTTGTGAAATTCAGTTCAAGTGGAATCTATTGAAGCTGACAAGTTGTGAATAATTAGTTCTTGTTATAAAATAAAGACTGTAAAGTAAAGACACATATAGAGGGAGATTGATATTTTTATTCAACTTTCAAAACTTATGTTCATAATGAACTGAAAACTCCTCTATTCATAGAAGAAAGGAAGCAGTTGCGAGGCTTTTCAGGAAGCAGCTGCAACGCTTTTCTTTAACTGCTTGTAAGCTGTCTGTATGAGCTGCTTGCAACCTGCTTGTTTAATAAGAAGTTGTTGCAAATCATTTCATTGATCTGCTTGTAAGTTGTCTGCATGAGCTATTTGCAACATGCCTGTTTAATAAGAAGCTGCTGCAAATCATTTCATTGAGTTGCTTGCAACCTGCCTGCATCAGCTGCTTGTAGATAAACTTCAACAGAGTACTAAATGGATAATCTTCTTCAGGAAGATTATCTATAGCGGAGTAATGAATGGACATCCACAATATAATATTTTCATAATACTCCCCCTTAGACGTTCATTAAAAGATAATGTGTCTCGTTAAACCTCACTAGGAAAAACCCAGTGGGAAAAATCCTAGTGAAGGAAAAAGGGTACACATATTTAGTAATACGCATATTTAGATGCCCCATTAAAAACCTTACAAGAAAAACCTTATGGAAAAAAGTTTAGTAAGGAAAAAAGAGTACATCGCGTATTTCACTTCCCCAGATGAAAACTTTGTTTCGAATACTTGAGTCTCTGCATTCCAATCTTGTATACCATCTTCTCAAAAGTTGAAGTTGGTAAAGATTTAGTGAACAAATCTGTTGGATTGTCACTTGTACGGATTTGTTACACATCGATGTCACCATTTTTCTGAAGATCATGTTTGTAGAATAATTTTAGTGAAATGTGCTTCGTTCTATCTCCTTTTATAAATTCTCCATTTAATTGGGCTATGCATGCAGCATTGTCTTCGTATAAAATTGTGGATCTTTTATCACATTCTAAACCACATTTTTCTTGAATAAAATGAATCACTAATCTCAACCATACGCATTCCCTACTTGCTTCATGAATAGCTATTATCTCAGCATGATTTGAAGAAGTAGCAACAATTGATTGCTTTGTGGAGCGCCATGATATGATAGTACCTCCACATGTAAATACGTACCCGGTTTGAGATCGAGTTTTATGGGGATCAGATAAATAACCTTCATCTGCATAACCAACAAGATCTGCATTACCTTTGTTAGCATAAAACAAACTCATATCAAGAGTTCCCTTTAAATATCGCAAAATATGCTTAATCTCATTCCACTGTCTCCATGTAGGAGAAGAGCTATATCTTGCTAGTAAATTAACAGAAAATGCTATGTCAGGCCTTGTATCATTAGCAAGATATATAAGTTCACCAATTATACTGAGATAGGGTGTTTCAGGACCAAGGAGTTCCTCACCCTCTTCTGGAGGTCGGAACGGGTCCTTATTTACTTTAAGTGATCGAACAACCATTGGTGTACTCAATGAGTGCGCTCTGTCCATGTAAAAGCATTTTAAGACACTTTCTGTATAGGAAGATTGATGCATAAATATCCCGTCTGCTAAATGTTTAATTTGCAGTCCAAGACAAAGTTTTGTCTTTCCAAGATCTTTCATCTCAAATACTTTCTTAAGATATTCAATTGCCTTTTGGAGCTCTTCTGGAGTTCCAACAAGATTTATGTCATTAATATAAACAATAAGTATAACAAATTCCGATGCTATTTTCTTTATAAAAATACATGGAGAAATAACATCATTTATGTAACCCTCTTTCAACAAATATTCATTAAGGCGATTATACCACATGCGCCCAAATTGCTTTAAACCGTACAAAGATCTTTGTAATCTGATTGAATACATTTCCCGAGATTTTGAATTTGCTTTAGGCATTTTAAATCCTTCATGGATCTTTATATAAATTTGATCAAACGAGTCATATAGGTTATGACTTGCATCTAAATGGCATGACATCTTCAGGTGTCTGGACTACAGGTTTGATCCTCACAATCTTTTATAATATTGTGCACTATATTGTATCAAATATATCGTCGACGGTCATTTTGTATCGGTTCGCAAGTGACATAACTTGTTGAGATCTCATCAGTTTCTTTATTTTCAGGTACCTGAACTTCTTCTGGAGTTTCATGAAATATTATGACGTGGGCTCTTCTGGAGCTCATTTCCTCCCCATTACGATCATTTTGATCATTTGCTCATATCCTTTTCAAGGAATGTTACCTTTGGAACCGATCGGTTTATTACGCTTCATGCGTGCAGTAAACTTTATCCTTCAGGGACTTTAATTTTAATAGGAGCATTTGCAGCTAAAATATGACATTTAATTTTGGATCAGCAAATGTTTCTGGCATTGACTTAAATTATGTTCTAAGTGAGAATCATATAAATGATAATTCAATTCATATAGCATAATTTTCAGATATTTATTTCATCCCCCAAATGTTAGAAAAACTAACTCATATCCCCAATCTTCTTTGGGAAACATATCTTTGTGCATTGTGGTAGAGACATTAATCATATACCACACATCAAAAATTATTAGATAGTAAAAATATTTGGTTTCTGATCCTAAACCAATTGTGAGGGGAAGACTTATCATATTTTGTTGGTCTGATGCATACAAGTGTTGTTGTATGCAATTTGGAAAATCTTAGACCAACACATGAGTCTTTGTTCTCATAAGCAATAGTTTAACCATTAATAGGATGTATTCAATTCTAAACTAGCTTGGATATAAACCAGCATCATCAAGATGAATTATCTTGATTTTATAATCTGAAAATTATGCTCTTAATTGAGAAAGGCAATTTTAAATGCCAAACTGCAGGTTGAGAATAAACACACATGTAACCATCTCATATATGCATCTATAAGTGGTTCACATGATAGGTGAATGGGCCCATATTCACCTTTTATATATTCCAGAATTCAGGGGTTTTAGTCCCAACTTTAGCTGGTATAATCAATTTATTATGAGAACAAGTAACACAAGAGAATTCTTGAAGAATCTTCTAGTTCTTCAGTATATGCTTATATGAATTCTCAAATAGCTCATTTAAAAATGGCAAATAAAAACTTCAAGTTTATCATGGCATGTGCTATCTCTAAGTAAACTTTTGGTTTACTATGGCATAAACTTTTACATTAGTAAACTTCTTATTTACTGTGGCTACTTTTATATTAGTAAACTTCTGGTTTACTGTGATACATGATATAGTACAAATTGAAGAATAAGGCGGGTCACTTCTCACATACATATTATTTTAGCCCCTATGATTGTCGAAACATGAAGATTTTCAATATTCCGGTCATTTGTAGTCTCAATATGATAGCCATTTGTATTAGTAAACTTCGGGTTTACTACAACATATGTTTTGACCATAATCATATAATATGAATGACATATTTGTATATAAGCTCTTCGAGAGACTTCATTTATTACCCATAATCTAATATTATTCGAACACTACTGGTGTTACGTGTCTTCTAGACAAACAGTTAGTTCTTCAGGAGTTTTTGATACATTTTGTACTATCAAATATTTCTCAGACACTTCTGGTATCATGAGAGAAAATCATAATCAAATAAACAATATAAAAATAATTCTAAATTTATAAATTTCAGAAATCAAGAATTTTAATATTTTTACCACCAACTTTGTGACAAATATCTCCTTCAGGGAGAAACGCCATTAATATCTGAATATTTTATATCAAAGCGGCAACCACATAGTCATTACATCCTCTAGGGAAATATACATGAGTTGTTATTTTCTTCGGAGTAGTTAATAATAACTAACCATAATATATCAATATGGTTGTAGTAGCAAGCATTCTACAAGAATGCTTTTGCCTTAGAATGATACTTAATAAAATTATCCAAGATGTTTTACGTACAACAGGTACGTGTGAAAATGATCTTTATGCTACAGAAGTAATATTTATATCCTCTATTATTCTACCTCTTGAGTTGTGGTATTCCTTCATTCACTCCGGGGAATAAAAATGTGCTTCAAAAATAACTTTGAATAGCTCATTATTTTGTTTAAGCACAGAAAGACACTGCTTCAAAATATTTTCCTACTTCAAGAGAAAATTTCAATTGTATTACTTCTTCAGGAGCAAATTTAAAATACGAAAAATTGAATATATATTCTCTCAATCATATTAACTCTTCTGAAGGTGAATTGTAATATATTTACATCAAAAGCGCGTTCATATTTACGACTTTATTAATATTATCACATTCACTTCAGGGAATGGCTTAATATTTATCAAAAATTCTCAGCCTTCAGAAAATCGAACATAATTATTTGAACGCGCATTAATCACATCAAATTGTGATGCTTCAACCTCTTTTAAAATATTTACTACTTCAGGAGCAAATCGACGCGTGCATGTAATATAGAGAATATTTCTCTAGCTTATCTTTAATTGTAACCATAGAAAGCCTAAATTATCACTTCTGGTAGTCATAGGCATATACCACTTCTGGTGGTTAACAAAATTTAGTTACAATGAGATATGCGAAACATAACCACTTCTAGTGGTTGTATATTTCTTGCAAACTCTGCTGGAGTTTAAGTGGATCTAACAATGTTATCCACTTTGTAATCGTTTATTAAGATAATAAGGATGAAAACAAATACCAAAATAGGTACTGTATATGTAACATATAGCCAAGCAAGCGATGATAAAGATATTAAAATATAAACAAAAGGCTCAAATTAAATTACACTAATTTGGCCACTCCAGATGTAAGTGATATCTACATCACTACTGCCAAGAAGAAAAACTCACCACCTCAAGGATATAATCTGCCTTATAATGCTAGGAATGAACAAGATCTAACCACAGACGTAAGAGCGTCGCCTTACATCGGAGATGAACACACCTCAAGGATATAATCTGCCTTATAATGCTAGGAATGAACAAGTTCTAACCACGGACGTAAGAGTGTTGCCTTACATCGGAGATGAACACACCTCAAGGATATAATCTGCCTTATAATGCTAGGAATGAACAAGTTCTAACCACGGACGTAAGAGTGTTGCCTTACATCGGAGAT